CCTGTTTCTCTTCTTCCCGTCGCTCGTCTCTTTCTCTTCCCGCTGCCATGGTCAACATTCGCCGGCCGGAGGCCTCACAGGGCGCCACCGCCATGGGAATCAGCCGATCCGGCTGCCCTCGGCCAGATCTGCTCGGACCCGACCACGTCTGAGCTGCAACCCACCACGCGGAGCTGCAACCGTTGAACCTTTTTCCTCCCGGAACGGCACCGCGGCGACGATGGCCATGGGTAGGCGTGGGAGCTCGGCGGAGCAGCAACAAGTAGCTGTGAAAATGGTTGCAGCAAATTCCAACGCCGTTTGTAGCAAAACCAACTATGGTTACAGCAAAACGACGTCATCTTCATCGCGGGATTCACAGCTAAGACAATTACTTTGAGGATTTTTTCATTGCCGGTTGTAGCTTTTGTAACCGCCGGTTGTAGCTTTTCGTTTGTCGTCCATGGCTTACGGCTCCACGGTTGAAGCTTTTTTCATCGCCGGATGAAGATTTTTTCATCACTGGTTGTAGCTTTTCTTTGGTCGTACATAGTTTTCCGTTGTACGAGTTGAAACTTTTTTTCATAGCCGGTTAAAGCTTTTTTTGTCAGCGATTGTAGCTTTTTCCATCGTCGGTTGCAGCACCGGGCATCTCCCCTGGCGCTCGATTTTTTTGTTGCAAACTGGATATGAGCGTGCGGCAAGCACACCGGTGAGCTCCGGTCGTCGCCACCGGAGCTGCAGCGGTGGCCATGGAAGCTACAACCGCAGGGGTGGGCTGTTGCATGGGGCGGAACCACTGACGTGGACGGCCGCCGAGGACTTGGACCGGCGACCAGGCGGCCGGGAAAGATGGCCGGCGAGGACGGCGACCAGGGACGAGGAGGGTAGGCGAGGGAGGGGCCGCGACGAGGGGGAACGCGTGCGGCCGACGAGACGGGGTTCGCGAGAGGTAGACGACACTCGTTACGCGCTCGCGAGAGAAAGACGACGACCTGATTGGATAAAGATCCAACGGCTCGGGACGGGCCGATCTGACGGCTAAGGTGCGGCCGGCGCCTGGCATCGTTTGTCTATCAACACTTCAACACTCACCATCATTCGGGACTCTTCTTATGCAAATGGAGCAGCGACAGTATATATATACTCCCTCCATTTTTATTTACTCCGCATATTAGAGTTGACTGAAGTCAAACTTCCTAAAGTTTGACCAAGTTTATAAAAAAAATATTTACCATAACAAATATATATGATGTGGAAGTACATTAGATAATTAATTTAATGGTGTTGATTTGTTATTGTGTATGTTAATATTTTTGTCTATAAACTTTGTCAAAGTTTATAAAGTTTAACTTTGACCAAAAGCTAATATGCGGAGTAAATAAAAACGGAGGGAGTACAAAGTGATTTTTGTGATATTTTAATATTTTATATAGGCAACGTGTCAGCCTATACTATATTTTGAAAAATACTCGCAGATGTTATCATGCTGAGATCAGTCGTGAAACATTACAAAAACAAATAGACAGCTAATCTTTCTCTAGGGGAACAGGCAGCTAATCATAATGCTCTTCAGGTAAATAAAAACGTCCTGCGCGGGTGAAATCCCCAAATCCCAGAGAAATCCTTCTCCCTCCTCCGCGTTCATTCCTCTTCCATCTATCTGGCTGGGTGGCTAGTTCACTTCTGCATATTCGATATGTCCCACTGCTGACTAGGACGGAAATGTGGGCTCCTTTCTGCCTAATTCTTACTTCGTCAAATCAGCCCAGAAGCTGCAGATCCACGTCAGTAAAATGCTTGTCATACACTAAATGTCACGCTCTAACTTTGTCAAACCCCGTTGTTCTAGCATGCTTATGTATATTTTTGAAACACCCGGCACAATATAGAGGCACACGCTGAACCACAACCCCCTCCCCACGCGCACAGCGCTTACGGAAGATTACAGTCATGAAAAGTGAATGTTAACAAAATCACCAAAAACGTATTAGGGTCGAGGGAATGTCACCTCCTGATGAAACAATAATGTACTGTACTTTAAGAAGACACATGGACCATCAGACCGGCGGAGGTTCAAGGGAGTGCTCATTTTTGGCGAGTGCTCATTTGTTGAACTAGGATTGGTGCTATTTCGTCCATAGTTGTTCGTTGATTTAGCTTAACTAACTCTGTCGCAGAAAGTATAAAATATTTTTCGCTTCATCAGTACACACACAAAATTTATGATAAAATAAATCTGAATTCAAGCACCAGTGCATCATGCTACATACAAATTAGCGGGGATAAAATAGAATTGTCACTCGCGTGGTATTTCCATCTAAATCAAGGAAGTTTGTAATATGTATTGTAGAAAAGAAATTTAGTAGTACAGAAATCGACCATAAAAGATATGCAGATCAATATTGTACAATAACATCAGTGAAGGGACTAACATCACAACCCCTTGTGCTGATGCGCGTCGTGGCGCGTTGCAGCCTGAAAATGCCGACATTAATAAGTTTTGATTGCAATCTTGCTCCTTTGTGAACTGTCCTAGCACAGCCATGGTGCCGTCGTGCGGAAAAGATGGATATAAGATTGGGTTAATTATCCTTTTGCCCTCAGTGGTGTCCATGTGCTTAGTTTTGCCCTCAAATGCGAATTGTTCTCGGTTTTGCCCCTAGTCCGTGCGCACCGACTCGTTCCGTGAACTCTGCCGTCTCCGTCAGGTCAACCTTTTGACTCGGCCCTTACAGGTGGGACCAGGCGGTAGAAACGGCCAATTTTATTCAGACCGTTGCACGCGTGGCTTGTGGGACCCAGCAAAGAGCCGTTGAGCAGAGAGCCGTTGGTGGGTGTGCTATATAAGCGGGCGACAACGGCGGTGACCACGGCGACAGAGAGCACGGCGGTGACCACGGCGAGAG